TGCTGCTGCAGCGTACTTTACCGATGATTCGATGAAAAATGATCTGAATCTGAAAAGTGGCAAGCCCATATTGGCGTGGATCGAATATAATTCGGTTACGAACGTTATTGATGTTACTCTTTCACCATCTTCGACAAAACCCAGGTTGCCACTTTTGTCGTATCAAATGGATCTCTCTCCGATTATTGAAGAAACTATGTATGTTGGATTCTCCGCTTCAACGGGTTTACTCGCCAGTTCCCATTACGTTTTGGGTTGGAGCTTCAAAATGAATGGAGATGCTAATTCACTGAACTTGGGTTCTCTTCCATCACTTCCAGGACCCAAGAAGAAAAATAAAGAAGCAATTATAACTGGCTCAGTCTTGGCAACTGTTTTTGTATTAACCTCAATAATTTTTGCTTTTTTCTTGATAAGGAAAATCAAGAACGCTGACAAAATAGAGGATTGGGAGCTTGAAATTGGCCCACATAGATATTCATACCAAGAACTCAAGCAAGCTACCCGAGGATTTAAGGATTCGGAGCTGCTTGGGTTTGGCGGATTTGGACGAGTTTACAAGGGAACACTGCGTAATCCCAGAACCGAAGTTGCCGTGAAGCGTATATCCCATGAATCCCGGCAGGGCGTACGAGAATTTCTGTCTGAAATTTCTAGTATCGGCAGGCTTCGGCATAGGAATTTGGTTCAATTACTGGGGTGGTGTAGACGAGGTGCTGATCTTTTACTTGTTTACGATTTCATGCCTAATGGAAGTTTAGATAAGTTCTTGTTCGACAACCCGAAATCCATTCTGAATTGGGAACAAAGATTCAGGATTATCAAGGGAGTTGCTTCAGGGCTCTTGTACTTACACGAAGGATATGAACAAGTTGTCATACACCGAGATGTTAAGGCCAGTAATGTGTTGCTAGATGGCGAATTGAATGGTCGGGTTGGAGATTTTGGGCTGGCAAGGTTGTATGATCATGGGTCGAACCCGAACACGACACGTGTTGTCGGGACATTGGGTTACCTTGCACCAGAATTACCAAGGACAGGGAGGGCCACAACAAGTTCTGATGTGTTCGCATTTGGTGCTATGTTGCTTGAGGTTGTGTGTGGACGTAGGCCAATTGAGCACAAGGCAGGGCCAGAGGAGTTGGTTTTGGTAGATTGGGTGTGGGACCATTGGCGAGATGGGACAATTTTCAATGTTGTCGACCAAAAATTGAATGGTGAGTTTGACAGAAATGAGGTTGTCATGGTGTTGAAATTGGGACTAATGTGTTCAAAGAATGTGCCATTGGCAAGGCCTACCATGAGGCAACTCGTGAGTTACTTGGAAGGTGAGGCGGAGATATCCGATATTCTGACGTCACCAGGTGGAGGCTGCGGCACCAGCGGTGTTGATGGAGGATTTGATGATTTTTTGCATTCCTATGCATCATCATCATTTGAGAAGACCAGTTCATTCACAGTAATGGATAAAAGTTTTGCATCTGTTTCTACATCACCTCTTTCACTTATCAATAGTTCAGGGGAAGCTAGATAACGTGCAGATTTTTCGCTTATTCCCGTGCACGTGTTCGTGCAGGTCGAATGCACCCACTCTTGTAATATCGATATTGTGTAAAATCGCCCTCAGGGCACACCTCCAAATGGTAAAAGAGAAGGGTGGAGAAATTCAGTTTTGCGTGAGACTGCTGCGTCAAGGGTTCAAATCCTGAAATATGGATTCGGCTCTTGGGTAAGTGCAAGTGTACAAGCAGTCTTCCACCCTGTACCCTTGGACACATAACCTACGATTTACCTCCCTCACGATGCTCCAGGACAGGGGTGGTGGGGGACCCTTAAAGTTAGGGTGTAACCTTTTTTTTTTTTTGGATATTGTGTAAAATCATCTTATCTAAAATTTGGCAGTGTTAGAAATGAATTGAATTTTTTATTTACATTTATGAGTTCAAGAAATTCTTTGTATCAAATATACCATGTGAACAATGTAGGTGTTGTTGGAAAAATAATTAGTTGCAGCAGTGATCAGAACAATATAATGCAGAAATATAAAACTTTCGATCGAGTCTCGTGACAGCACGATGTCCTAAAGTGAAATTGCCCGTCAATAATTGCTGTGACCTCCGTGGACAATCACTCCCAGGATACAACGATCGTAAACCACTTATGCAGCAATCACGAATGATTTTTCTAGAACTCTCAATTGTACTCCAGAATAGGTATAAAAACCCGAATATAAGAAATTCACAATATGAAAAGAGTGATTGATTCTATTTTCTTTTTGTGTGTATTTTTCCAAAACGAGATATAGGTTTATATAGGCAAGATGGTAGTAACAGCCTTCACCATGTTAATGCAGAATTTTAATGACTGAGTAGTGGGTGTTTTAATGACAGTTAGTGGGTTGTTACAAAAACAAACAGTCATAAAATACTGGCTAGTTTTACCCATTAAATAATGAAGAAAAAAATATTTATTTTAGTCAAGGAAGCCCAAGAGCCCAAGGCCCTTAATCAAGACATTTTAATAGTTACGTGGGGAGTGATTCGAACCCCTGACGTCCCACACAAATGTCACATTTCCCATCACTTTGGCACTTTATCTAATTTGATTATTTCTTTCATATTTTATATTTATACCATAAATATATAACATGTGTCTGCATGCTTTGTTTGATCGCAGCAGTCACACATGGGAACGCTGGATATTACTAATAAGTTTCAAGGATTCAGGATGCTTCAATGATCTAAAGAACCTCGATGAAATTACAAGAAATAAGGAGAAAGAGGAAGAAAAGTCGAGTTTCCGTTTCAATTTCTTAATTCACTTGACTTTTGTTTGAACAATATTTTTGTGAGTGTCGACTCTTGAGATACTTTATCATTTAGGGTCCATTTGATTGCAAAAATGAAATTTGGGTGGAAAGAAAACGAATTTCAAGGAATTGAATTGCCTAGAACTTATTTTTTTGGGAATTGTCAATTAATGGGTTCGATTGGTATAATTTTTTACTTGAAAAATGTTAATAATTTTTATTTTTTTATATTCGTTTGACTTTATTTTTCATGAAAATTGTCAATTAAAGAGACAAAATTTGTTCCAATTGTGAAAAAAAAAAACCGCCAGAAAAACCAATTCCCATGAAATTAGTTTTCCACAAAACCAAGGAACTTGCACGTGTGGGGAGAGGAAGGAAAATGTATTCTCTAGAAATTATTGTAATTAAACTGGCCAAAAGGTGGAAAAATAAAAAATGTTTTCCATGGAAAATTGGCCCAATCAGGGCCTTATTGTAAGAAGAAAAAGTTGGGACTTTGAAAAGAAGAAGATTGGGATGAATTTAAACTTTAATACGTCCAAAAATTGGGTAATTAAAGTCTAAAGCATATCTTTTTGGATTGAGCACTAACTCGTGGCGTACACTTCATGTCAATGACAGATCACCTTAATTCTGAGTAGTTGTAGACTCTTGAAATAAGTATGGGTGTCTTTGGGTTGGCGTAGGAGTGACTGTGAGGTTGACTGCACAATCTTGATTTCCCACCATCAACAACCCTTTAGTAGGTTCAAAATAAATTCCTACCACGGAGAGGAAATCGCATTTTCCTTTTTTTTGGTTGAAAAGATGTTTAAATCTTACTTTTAAGTGGCAGAGGAAATCGTTCATCCAACGGTTAAAAAGGTTAATTTTTTTATTTAATTCATTTATTTTTTTGTTGAAAAATGATTACATGTTACTTTTAATTAAAAGAAATAAGAAAACTTTTTTCCAAGAACTTATTTCTCGAATGACCCCAAGTCAAAAACTTCGCTTATAAACATAGGATTATAATTTTCCTTTCCTTTTGATTCCAATAAGCTCTTTTGCTCTTCTTTTTTCTCCTCTCTCTCTCTTACGAAAAGCTTGCACCTTGTCTAAGAGTTAGTTTATCTTGGTACCGGAAGTATCTCGACTCCCTATTTATAAAATTCTATGTGCTAGACTTTTCGCTATCAACAGTTAAATCTTCTAGGGATGAGTTGGTTTGACAGTTCATTCTTTTCCATGTTCTTCACTTACTGAAGTGTGTACATTCCATAGCACAATATACCAATTCTTGTTCAAGTAGCCAAAATATTAAAATATTAGATGCATGCACAGTCCAAAATATATAACTGGGATATGATCGATAGCGGAAAAAATAAAAGTTAAAAAGATAGCAATCACAGTTACTTTAATCTAGGACGTTGTCATCACTTTGCCCAAAAACTATAGTTCTTGGCACAAATACAATCCTTCTTTTATTATCCAAAATAAAATTTGGGAATCCACCCTAAGCATATGCCTGTGGGTTCATCCCATTTAAAAAATGTTCCTGCATTGTCCACTCACTTCACAAGAATGTTCAACATCTACTCGAACTCTGGACCTGCAGCTCTGATATATATATATATATTACAATATTAAAAAAATAACCATCAAGTCGAATCTGGTATTGTGCATGCTAAACACACATAAAAATGAAAATATGTCTCTTGACTTTAATAATTTACTATGAAATTGGACTTTGGGAAAGGCCTTGATCTTCTATGAACAAGAGCATTCAATGTTTTCTATGAAACTGGAGACGTTCTTCCAAAATCAATTTAAACTATAATTCAATTTCATGTGCCATCAAATGCAGCCTCAATATTTATGTATTTTATCACAGCGATTCATTTGATTTTAGAGCCTGTTTGGAAATGATTTTGAAAATTGATTTTTTGACCGTTAGGAGAAAAGTGAAATTCACCTGTGAGAGAAGAAGTCAAATATGACGACTGGAATAGTGAAATAACGGTAAAAAAGTCAGACCCAAACAGACCACCCTTGGTTGCAGGCATGTCAAAAACAATGAAGAAATGTTTAGAATTTTATATCGATAAGCCTCAGTTCCTTCTTACAAGAGTAATAATAAGGATAAAATCAAACTTGCAAAATAAACACAGAATATAGAGTGGTAAGAGTTTCTGTATGATAAAGAAAATAAGTGTAAGAAAACAACAATATACCTCATCAATGGTTCAGTAAATTCAATATCACATCTAATCATCCACTTAATGTGCAAAAGAGCAAAAGAACAGATAATCAAAACTGAGGAAGAACTGAAAAAGAAAAAATTCATCTGGACTTTCAGGGAAGAGCTTAAGGGAAGCCGGAAAAAAAGCTTCCATTTAAGCAATACGACTAAATTTCCACAGAAACATTTTTATCCATATATTTGAATAAGAGCAAAGAGAAACTAGACCACTATCCTCCCATAGCTGCATTAAGCAGCACTGCCAGATGAGGGTCCTGGACCAAGTAATAATGGCGCCTCCTTTTCCTCCTTTTTGGTACTAGATTTTGCATCAGGATTCCGGTTTGCACCCCAAGCTCTAAGAGGAGGCTCGAAATGCTTACTGGCTACATCTGGTGGAAGAGCATCTTCTCCAGGGAGAACAAGAAGCCCCATCTCTCGAAGAGAAGATGGTTCATTATAGCAGGCGAGCCAAAGGGAGTCGACAAGGTGCCTTTCCTCTTGGGCAGCACCTAGGTCTTCAGCTGACATCTCGCTGATCCCCTTAATCCGTTCTTGTAAAATTTGCTTCAGTTTGTCATCTTCCTCACTTGGATGAGCATCCTGCTTGCCTAACCTGTAGCGAGCTAGCTCAAGAAGGCCTTGGAGTGCGCCTTCACGTACTTCTGCATCTTCACTTGAAGCCAGGTGCATCATAATACGCAGAAATCCTAGCTCAGCAACTACATCACAATCTGAATGATTCTCGTGAAGTAAATAATGGATCAAGTTAAGAGCTTTCCTGCAAAAATTACAGTTGCTTGTGAATAAAGAGGGAAAAATATACAACTTTAGGCAGAAGAAATAAAAGTTACAATAAAAACTAATACAAATACGATTGTGAATCAATCTTAGAGCACGTTTGCAAACACTAAGAACATCAATTTTTAGCTTTAGATCTGCTTTTATCATATGATGCTTAAACTAAGCTGAAAATCACCAAAACCTGTGGGCAAACCTTGGGAAAGTTATCTTATTTACAATTGAATTCACGATAATGGGTATTCTCCTTCCCATAGGGAATGAGAGAAGCCAAGACGCAATACGTGTCGGACTCTGACCTGTGATTTTTGATAAACAGTAGGACACAACATGTTGGCAACACATCAACTATTATAATTATTATTTTTTTATATTTTAGTTTTACTTTTCTTTTTTTTTAATATTTATAGTGTAGAACATCTCTTGTTTTAATTTTTAATCTTTAAAATTGCATTGTCTTTTTGCAATTGATAATTATTGCAGGCAAAGGAAAGGGACGTGTAGAGAAGTATTTGGCGTTTCTTGAATTTAAAGTTATGTTAGCAGAGGCTAAATTGTAATTTTTATTTTTTAAGTTTTGAAAAAGAAAGTTGTAATTGTATAGAAATGTTTCCAACTCGATTTTGGGTCGAAAATTGACCCACACTACTTTTAACTAAAAACATGACATTTTCAAATTGAACATGTTTTTAGTAACTGAACTTCATATTAGGGTTTCACTTTCACCTTGCACCATCACACACAGTGAAACACTAAGATGGGGTTTCACCATCAGTCACTCCATCCCCAGCTCAGCTTATTCCAACCTTTCTCCTTCCCTCATCCACCCGCCATTGTGGGACCGACTGATGAAGATGCCACCAGGTTAATTTTACATTTTAACTTCTTCTTTTTTTTTAACTATGTTGCCCTGTCGGCAGCATTTTCACCGCATGTCTATGACGTGTCAGTGAAGTGGAGTCAATCCATAAAATCCAATCAGAAAAAGGTTATGCCACCTGGCATGTCTGATAGGTGTCGACGGCGTGTCGGATCGTGCAGGTGTCCGACACGCGTCATAAACAAACTCGTGGGAGCCGGAGGCTTGACAGTGCATCAGAGCCAGAGAGTCACCAGGTCAAAACTCTGTACAGTAGTCATAAAATTCATCACCAAACTGAAGGAAAACATGTACCTCTGAAATCTCTGACTCTCAGAACTTAAAGCATCTCTAAGAGCTGCATAACCATTTGCAAGGCGAAAGGCGGCAATTCCAGGCCTGTTATGCCTAATTAGAGCTGAAAGTATTTGATAACCAAAAAACAACACATTAGCTGGATTTGTCATGCCAGATTGCATGCAGTGAAAGTGAGGAATAGGCTCGACAAAACAAGAAAGAACTTAAATATTCCTCACACGAGATTGCACCAAGCGCTTTGGTGCGCACGGTAACATCAGGATCTGAAGTAAAATTTGACAAGAGTGGTTCTAGGCCATTAGCTTCCATGACCATTTGTTGACTCTTAGGGTTGTTCTGAACAATTGTACTTACAACTTCTGCAGCCTTAGCTCTGATGATAGCATGGGAATTCTTCAAGTAGCCAAGGAGAGGTACTAAGCCACCAATGGAGTGAAGATCTGGACAAGGCATACGGACCAAGGGCATAAGGCAAACATTTCAATGACCAGATCAGGTTGAGGAAGCCACTCGTACAAATTTTATTATTTTCAAGATATGCTCCAGAAACAGACTATATGACTAACATACTCACCATTGGCATTGTCAATAGACTCCACGTGCTCTTGTAGCTCATCCAACATATCTGAAAGCACACAGAAACCAGTAAATATTCAATCTTCACCACAGTAGCTAAAAACTGAATCAGTAAAGAGAAATGGAAGCACATAATTTTCAGTATTTATCACCTTCAATATCTTGAGGAGTTACTCCCTGAGACTGCAGTACCTGCTCTGGGGTTTGCATAACAAGAGTTATCTCTTTCATTCTTCTAATAACATCAACACTCTGAGCTTGCATAGCCTCCATGAACCATCTCCTATCCTCCTCACTAAACCCATTAACAACGCATTAATTAACCCTAAATTCTCACAGTTGAAACAACAGCTGAACTCCAATAACAGCAAAAAGAATGAACCCTTGTAGTATCTAATGTTGTATTAAATACACCAGAAACCCATAATTGAATAAATCCGGATATAAAAAACCCCAGCAGGAATTCAAATATTTATTCAAAAATGCTATATTTCTAATCGTCCTTACAGTCCAAACATAAAAGATAAATTAAAGAACATAGATACAAAAATTAAACGAGTACCTTAAATTACCAGCAGAACCAGTGCCATCTGAGTGAGAGAGACTCCATTTAAGTAAACCGTCCCAGTTAGGGCTCTCTTTAGCCATTTCTTATCTAATCAAACTGGAAAATTTATCAAATAATATCAAATCTTTATGGTAGAACCAGAAGAAAATTTCGCTGCAAGCAAAAATATTAACAGAAATTCTTACAGTAAGCCAAAGATTTAAATGGGAAAGTAGTGAAACGGGGTTTCAAGAACTCACTTGAAGATTCAAATATTATCTTCTAAAACCAGGAATTATACAATATCAGTTCTACAAGACTGACCTCGATGGGTTTTTGTGAATGGGCTGGATCTATTGTAGGATATAATTTCGGCTAGCCCCACTTATGTTGTTGGTCCATGTTTTAATTTGTTCTTTATTTTCCTTTTATTTCTTGTTTTTTATTTTTTATTTATTATTTTTTTGTCTGTGTGATTCTTGAATTGCCATCCCATTAAGACATTATAATTGAGGTTACAAACAAAGATCTTAATTTTGAAAACCATCTTCGTAGAGGTGTAAATTGAGATCATATCGTGCTACTATGACTTGATTTTGATGTGGTCTACAGATATTTAAAATTATTTGAAGAATGACATAGTCGTGTTGGATCGAACATTATCGAACCTACACGCTTTACAATTTCCTATGTAGGATTACGAAACTTCTTTTATAATTTTTTTCAATAATAGGCTTACATGATTCACTTTAGGTGAGTCACAAGCGTTTAATTATATATGACATATTTAACAGGTAGAAGTGGACAATAAGAATTAAAGAAAAGTAGTTGAGTTTTTGCTTTTATCGAGTGCACAATATTTCCAATCAAAGTTTTAATTTTTATGATGATTTTCCATTTATTTCTTGTTGTTATGGGATATTTAATCTTGTCCAAAAAATAATGTTCAAGTCATTATTAGAGTAGAAAATTTTATGCCAATGTGGAGTAATTTCAAGAATAAGTAAATTCCGTTTAAGGTTGAATGGCCTCATTGTTTATTTCGTGCCCATCCCTCATTTAACGACATGTGCTAATCATCACATTATTTACGAGAATGGAAAGATAGCAAGATAAAAACCATCGTATTGTTGCACGAAAAATGTCTACTCAATTAATTTTACAATATAATTGGCTCAAAGATCATAGAATCTTTGGAACGTTATGTAGATAATTGATTAAAATTGTGATCCTACATACTTTTTATAGTGAATCCTGGAATTAACTTGTGCTTAGTCCATAGAGAGCCTCTTCAATTGACACTACTTAATTTCAAGAATATGATTTGAACTCGATGTATTTAACTAATTGATTAAGATGACATTATATATCGTTACCATATATTTATTTCCTCTGCACGTAGTAAAATCCTGCCATACATTTGATTCAGAGTCCATTTAAGGTAAGGTGGGGTGAAGGTGGGGTAGGGTTGGCAAGAAGAAGAACTGTGTTTTATTCTTTTTCTTTTTCATTTTTTTTTTGGTTTTTTTAAAATTATTTTATGTGGAAAAAAAAGTAACTTACCATTTTACCCTTGTTGAAATGTCAAAAAATATGGTTAAACTCAATTTTTCTAGTCAACGGACAGTAATTTGGACTGAAACCATCCATTTATCCTCTAATCGCATACAATTGAAAGGTCTGGGATCACGGATGCAATAGATAAAAGATTAAGGATTGCAAAGATTTGACAATATTGGGACCTTGTTTGTGTTAGGGTAATTGGCACAAATTGGCCCTACCTTTCAATGTCATTGTGCAAAACATGGGTAATTGGCACAAAACGTTCAACTTTTCATTTTTTTGCATTTTTGCCCATATTTCTACATTTCTTTGCGCTAAACGTTCTTTTTACCATTTTTTGATGTAAAATGATTAAAATACCCTTCTATTTAAACAAAACAAAAAGGAAAAAGAAAAAAATTGCAACTATAAGCCCAGACTTTTCACATGTGCAAATCAGCCCAAAATTAAAAAAAAAAACACTTCTTCCACACCTTACCCCCCACTCTCATTCCACCGTCGGTCAAAAATCCTAAATTGCTTCGTTTGAATGGTGAATTACAACAATTGATTCACTACCTAGAGTCGTTACACTTTGAATTGTATTCTAGTTGGAGCAACTTGTTGATTGTAGATGTTGAGAAATACCAATTGAAATGGGATTGAAGGTTTTGTGTTTTCTCTGTTTTTTGAATGAACTGACATGTCCAGGCAAAATTGGGGAAGACACATATGCTCATTGGATGCAACATGAGGAGTAGGTACTCGAGTTGGTGGTCCGCGATCATGGGTCCCACCACCAGCGCCGAAAAATTCTCCTGAAAACAGCGAAATGCCTATGTTCGAAGCCGCGGCCTGTTTGGTTTGATTACGTGAATTAAATGACATTTGAGGACCATGGACAGGGACATCTTGGTGTATATATTCGACTGAAATGTTGGGAATGGCATGAGTCTTGTCGGAACAGGTGGTGCCGCTCCGTATTTGCATTTGTGAATTTGATATTTTTGCTTGCAATTTCTACCAAATCTGTTGGCATGATAATTGGATGTTTGGTGGTATGTGCAGAGGGGAGTGAGGGCTATCTGGCGGTGGTTGGCCAGAGTTTTTTGGCTTCAAAGTGGATAGATTTAAGGTGCTTTAGTGACTTTTTTTTTTTTTTTTTTTTAATTTTGGGCTAATTTGCTTATATAGAAAGTTTGGGCTTATAGTTGTAATTTTTTCTTTTCTTTTCTTTTTTGTTTTGTTTAAATAAAAGGGTATTTTGATCATTTTACGTCAAAAAATGGTAAAAAAGACGTTTAGCGCAAAGAAATGTGGAATTAGGGATAAAAATGCCAAAAAATAAAAGGTATGGACGTTTTCCACAATAAGCTTGAAAGGTAAGGATGTTTTGTGCCAATTACATGCAAAACATTCATACCTTTCATTTTTTGACATTTCCATCCCTACTTTTCGCATTTCATTGCGCAAAATGTCATTTTCATCCACTTTTGATGATTTTACCCTCCTATTCAAATAAAATAAAATAAAAAGAAAAGAAAAGAAAAGAAAAAACAAAGAACTAATTGCAACCATAGTCTCAAAATTTCAAAAATTAACAAATGAGTTACAAATATATAGTTAAAAATCATAACTAAAAAAAATAAAAATAATTTATTCTTAATGTGAATTA